GAGGATGTTTACTGATGCTTGATCAAGGAGAAAGGAGGATTCATCAATACAGGCTTCTGTGCATGATGCCACCTAAATTCTGAAGCAGGAACCTCTGGGGATAGGTTTTATACATTTAGAAAGAATACTATAGAAAGCTTACACTCCATAATTCGTCAGATAACCCCATAAGATGGAGAAGGGGTTGGAGAGGGATGTGTTACTACACTATTGGTTCATTAACCATAAACAAGGAAATATGAATATATACGTACGAGTGCCGATTCTTAGTACACTCAGCCACTTGTTACTGCCCATCCAAGGTCTGTTGTTATCAGCCCTGGCACCAGCAGTATCAGCCGAACATAGGAACAAACACAGCTTTGTTTGGAGGAGCTGCTCCAGCGTCTCAAAGCTAGTAAGATTTAGTGCAGTAGCTGGGGCACAGAGACGTAGGGCCTCACACTGACCTTTTACCTTGAGTCAGTCATTCATTAGGTGGACAAGAGAAAATTCCCTCACAGTCAGACTGCCAGAGGGAGGAGAGGGTCTGTCAGTGTGGAAAAACAGGAAAAGCTTTGGACAAACAGAAAACCAAGTAGGAACCCTACAATGCAGGAGGGACAGTAAATCTGAGCTCTTAGATCATTGGCAGGCAGCGTGCATCTGGTCACACTCACACTCAGATATCCTTAGTTGGCAGGTGGGAGATAGGAATATGTTATCACCTATACTATACTCATAATACATGGTGTTTATAGGAAAGAAGAAAAATCACTTGTGCATATGTAAATTCGAAAATGACAACTATGTGACTGTTGGTGACTAAGTACAAGTAGAAGATGCAGCATGTGGGGGTTTCATCTTTGGCAACAGCTGATCTGTTGAGTGGAGGAATGGGGTGTTGGTATCAGTTGAAGTCTAACCCCAGACTCCAGAGAGCAGTCAGGTGATGGCTAAACAATGAACCCACCAACAGTAAAGTTTAAGTTTGTTTGATTCCATTAAAACTAAATGATGTAATAAACAAGTGGCTCTCCTGAGAAACTCAGTTGTAAGAGTTGCATTTTTAAAGTAATAATCTGTAACTTTTCCACATTATAATGTCTAAAAACAACTAGACCTATGTTCTATATGTTGTTGTGTTCTTACATCATCCCAAATGTTTCCATCAATTCTCAAACCAGAGAAATCTGTGATTTTAATCAAGGTAACGTTTCATTGGTCACCTGTCAATGACATCGTATCTCATGTGACAGTGATTCCCAACCTGTGGGCCCACTGGTGGGCTGCACAGGTATTGCGAGTGGGCCGTGAAATCATTTGCAAAACAATTTAACATAATTAAACAATTTGCTAGTACAATTTCAGTAAAAATAATTATAAATTGGTAATTATTATCTATCACTGTGATAAGCCAATGTTTGATCAATATCATTAAAATAAAAATGCTCTAAGAAGGCATTATTCGGCCTCCATATTGTTATGGGGTCCGATGTGGGCGACCATGTGTCAGTTTTATGGTTTCCTACCAGAAGCTCAACATTGACTTTTATCTGGTTTTAAGCCACATACACTTTTTACACCTTGGTGATTTTCAACACTGTATTTGAACCAAATGAAGGATTTTAGTCATCGTACATCTGGATGTGAAGTTATCAGAGAAACAAGCTAATGCAAGCAAATGTTAGACAGCTCAGCTCCCAGCTGCTGGAGACATCCTGTCCTGTGTCACTGAAGAGCGTCGGTTTATCTTGGTGAAACTGCTTTATGGGTGTTTCTATTGGTTTTCATCGCCTGGTCTGTTTGTTATGGAGAGGAGGACACCTCTGAGGATAATTCAGCTACGGGTAAAAACCTGCTGAATGTCTGGTTCATAAGCTATCAGAGAAACAATCAAATCAAAGGTTAGCATCAATCTCAGCTCCAACTCTTCCCTGACGTCTCTGTCCTCCGTACAGCGTCAGTCAAACACTTAATTTAAATGTGAAACTGCTTTATTCAGTGTTTTTAATGGTTATAATCACTGGGTCTGTTTGATTTCCTGAACCACTGACACTGAAGGAATCCAAACTGGAAGGAACTTACAGTAATGATGGTGAAAACAACAACTCCCATGATCCCACGGTATTTCATGATGTCACCTGATACCGTCTTTTGTTAATGTTTTAATTGAAAGACCCTAGAGACAGGAGTTACTGAGTTTAAATCCTGAAGTTTGCCGAGGTTCAAGAAAAACCACCAGACTGTGTCGTTAACAGCTGTTTCTATTGTGAAGGAAAAATCTCACTCACAGATAACTGTGAGGCTCATTCTGTTACTAAGTCTCTATTCACTGTCTGCTTTAATCATATTAAGACAGAAAAAGGAAGCTGATGTGTAAATGTCTTTTCTGCTAAGATTCATTAAACTACTCAGAGCACTCAGAATGATTTCTTGTGCTGTTATCTAAATGAACGTGAACATAGTAACATGTGAAAAGAACAAAACATTGGGAGGTTTGAGTCCTGGCTGGAGGATCCTTGATTTCTGTCTGTCTCTGAGCATTATTTTCTCTCTGCCTGTCAAATAACAAAGCATCAGTTCCTTATTCCTCTAGCCCACATTCACAGGTTCTGATGACTGCTGTGTGTATGTGTGTCAAATCACAGTTAGAACAGATCTGCAGAACATCAGACTATTTCTGATTCCACAAAATAAACAAGAAAAACTAGAGGGGTACTCAGAGCGCTGATGTAAAACACACACCAGACTTCATAGAAAAATATTCTAATTCATAGCAAATTATCCAGATCTGCCCCAAAGTTAATGGGTTCTTCCCTGGTCCATGATCCATCCCTCCACTAAGTTCAGTTCATCGGTTCAGTTGTTCAGTCACTCTGTATCCTGTGGGTGAAAACAACCTGCTTGCTATGAATAATAATAATGATAATATAAATATAGTCAGTGGTGTGACAGATTTTTATTCAAATAAATAGAACAAACAAGATCTGCATCCAAACTGAGCATTAAAACTGTAAATATGAATCTTCAGAAATACACTCACAAAGCTTATTTCTGGTAAGCAGGAAATAAAATGCTATTTAGGTAACATTTAAAACACACAGGAGAAAAAACCTCAGTCAATAAATGAAGGTTAATAAAATCATCTCAGACTGAGTCTTATGTGCAGCTTTACTGTATATTAGTACAACACATCGCCCTGCACATAAAGACATGTAATGTAGCTGCTGCACGATTCATTTATTAAAGCAGATTTAAGTTACTGACTCAGCAGAGGGACGTGGAGGAAATGATGTCACTCTGATTATGTTTTTAAAAAACATAATCAAAAATCAAAAAATGATTTCATTTGTGTGCCTTTATGGTTGTGTTTACTCAGGTCACTGTCACACCTGTCGTTCAGACCAGGGACAAATATAACTCATTGTTGCCTTTAGTTCAGGAGCCTGATCCAGCTTCAACAAACTCTGAATCTAACCTTAAATCAACCTCTGATAACGGACAGCAGGTCACGCTGCAACTCACTGATCCTCATGGAGCCAACACTTGACAAACATGTTTTACAAATGCCCTGCCATTCACTAACAAACCTTGGTTTGTTAGTGAATGGCAGTGAATGGTACAAACAAATGCATTTGGTTTTGTAAATGCAAAATGTATCTATCAAACAAAAGCACAGCTTATTTCTAACACATCATTCAGAAACACATACAGCAGGTCTTACAAGTACAAACATACATCCTACAGAGATAACAAAAAATATATTATGTGGCTTTTGGCACTATCTTTAACACTGGCGCCATGAGTCAGTTTAAAGGCAGGTTGAACAGAGCAGAGAGAGCAGAGCACTGGGGTCAGGTGAGCTGTTCCTGGTCAAATCCCTGTCAAACCAGCTGTTTGATGGAGTTTGATGAGTGTCTCCTTGTGTTATTATGGTACAGGTGCTGGAAGCTGCCAAACACCCAGTCAAACGGTTATTATTGTAAACATCATAATGACATACATTGTAATAGCTCCTAACTGAGAAACTGCTTTTAGTTATGTTCCATGACATTTACAGTTGTTTTAGTGTTGGTGTGTTTTTGGGAGGATAAAAAAACAGCCATAAACTAAATTCCACTGTATACATGGAAAATTCCCCACCAACTCTTTCCTATTCCTTTATACATCGGCTGAAATGTCATATGTCAAATGTCTTTGTGTGACCATATACAGAAAAATGAAACCTGAAGTTTCATATGGAAACAGTCAGGGTCACTCTGAAGAATCCAAGAATCCACTGAGGGTTTCAACAACCCTATGGAGGAAATGTTTTTGTGAATTTGACTCACGTTTCCTGTAATTTGTCCAAAGACTGCACAGTATAGTTCTTTAAAATGTAGATAGTCATATAAGGTAACGTTTAATTTGAACAGAAGTTCAATATATACAGCATTTTCAGGAAATGTATAAAGGAACAGGGAAAAGGGGGTAAAGGAATTTTCCACGTTAATAGTGAAATTTAATCAATGGCTGTTTTTTTTTCCAAATAAGAGGGCAACAACTGTAAATGTCATGGAACATATATAAAAGTAGTTTCTCAGTTAGGAACCATTACAGTGTATTTAATATGTCATTATGATGTTTAAAATAATAACCGTTTCACTGGGTGTATAAACTGTTTTCACATGTGTCCATTTTGGCTGCTTCCAGCACCTGTACCATAATTACACAAGGAGACGCTGCTTGAACTCCAAACAGCTGGTTTCACAGAGATTTGACCAGGGACAGCTCACCTGACCACAGTGCTCTGCTCTGCTCAATCTGCCTTTGAACTGACTCATGCCACCACCTGCTGCCGTGGAGGGAGAATTACTCGAGACATTTCTTAGCACAATCACGGTGGAAAGACACGTTATTATTTTTCAAATCTCTTTAGGATATATGTTTGTACTTGTAAGACCTGCTGTATGTGTTTCTGAATGATGTATTAGAAATATGTTGTGTATTTGTTTAATAGACATTTTGTATTTACAAAACAAAACACACTAGTTTGTTAATGGTGTTTTGTGTTTGTTTATTAATGAATTTTGTTTGTTAGGTTTAGGCAGTGAATGAGCTCCATAGATACTGATGTGTTCATTTATGTTATCTAGTGAAACACACAGCATCTCTTGGATATAAATGATTCATGAGTAGTAACAATCCAGACTACAACTTGAGCTTATTTCATGAATGATGAAAAACAGGGAGCAAAAAGATAAAAGGAGTAATTTTTATGTGGTGTAATGTTATGGTGGGATAGTGACTGTGGCGCCTACGTTTCACTCTCTCTGAAGCCAGTTTCACAAGGATATTCTAGTTTGATATCTTCAGCAACCTGTTGTCATTTAGTTCTGGTCAAATGCATTTAATAGTCCTCTGTCTTTTGAATTCATGCTAAAATCACACATTTACTGTCACAACAACCTGTGGTTGGTCTGCTTTGCTTTCACACCATAACAGAACTGGACCAGGACCCTCCTGGGTCTGGTTGTTTGGTCTGTACCAGAGTTTGATGAGCAGGTTTCACACCAGCCCAACAAACTTCACTAAATGCGCAAACGCACCAAACACAGCAGGTCACAGAGGTGTGAGCATGTGAAAACCCTGGATCTAAACAGAGTTAATATACTGACTTAAACATGTAAAACTGGTGAAGTGCCTATTTGAAGTTAGACAAATGGTCCTTGGTGATCCACCACCTCCCGAAGCTTTTCCACTACAGTGAATCACTGTTGCAAATGAGCTGCATATAAATGCTTTTTAGTAGAACTTGAAATGACATTATATTCTAAACATTTTGTTACATTAATGTGATCATTTTCAAACCTCAACACGACGACACTGAGGTCATTTTTCGGCATCCACGGGTGAGCAGCACTGAACATGGCTTCATCTTCACATTTTGAGGAAACATTCTTTGGCATTGCTCCACACCTGAATTCCCTGCACAGAGAGAAGAAAACACTTTCATCATGGACATGACCACTACAGTTGTCTCGTAACATTCACAGGCCTGATGTTCTTCTTAACCTTCTTGCACATGCTGATTTGCATGACAGCATAGTTAATGAGCGCCTCCCGCAGGTCTTTGTCTTTCTGCTCCTCAAAGCGCTCCATGTCCACCCAGGCTCTTTCAACATGCTCCCTGCAGTGACACACATCAGACAAACACACACCATATGCAACACTTTCCTCTTTTAACCAACACAGGTAATTTCCGTGATCATTAAGCAGCATCTACGACTCGGACTCACTCGCACTCAGCTGTCTTCTCTTTGACGGCATCTTCACCCTCTGTTATCAGCTCCTCCAGCAGCTTCAGTCTGGCCTCCCTCTGCTCAGGTGCTTCTTGTCCAAACAGCTTGTTGGTCATTCCTTTGAAGGAGAACGTCCGCACTATCTGAGAAGATGAAACACAAATAACTACAGTCAGATGGATGGTACAGTAGTCTACGAGACCTACATAGTCCTCAAAGGTCTTAGGTCAGTGTGACATCTATCAAAACTCATTATGATAAGTTATGATTCTTAAAGACATTAAAGACAGACTGAGAGTAAGGAAGTGTAGTGTACCCCTGTGGCCAGCTCCTCACGCTGATGCTTCTTGGAGATGAGGTCCTGGGAGGCCATCTCCAGCTCAAACTGGGTCAGCTCGTGTTTCCTGCACACTGCCCTACAGAGGCAAAGGGTACATAACTAATATTAAGTTAATAGTATGTCATGATCTAATTAACTTTGGGGAACATGGCCTATAAGTAATATCACAATATTTTTAGGCTCTATCACGATACACAATATATCTATATTGATATTTTAAAATCTCCTCTAAATTAACAATTGTATAATTGTTAATTATATTGGAACAATTTTTTTTTTTTTTTTATGATTTTTTTGGGCTTTTTGTGCCTTTAATGGACAGGACAGTAGAGAGACAGGAAATGGGGAGGCAGAGAGAGGGGAAATGACACGCAGTAAAGGGCCGTCCGTGGGAGTCGAACCGGGGGCCAACTGCAGCGAGGACTGTAGCCTCTATATACGGGGCGCCTGCATAACCCACTGCGCTATGCGACGCCCCTTATTGGAACAATTTTAATGTGTATTAAAAAATCACAACCAGACTGAATTTAACAAAACAGTATTTAATGAAACCAAAAAACCTCTGAACAGCTGTTAACTGAAAATAACTAATGACATGATGTAGACCTTCATAATGAGGTCCACTTATGTGGAGCTCAACAAGAAACCCTGAGATTTCAAAACAACGTCAATTCAAGTGCACAACATTAAAGTGAGCACTTGATATTAGTGACAAGAGGTCATTTCAACAACAGTAACATATAAATATCACAGTGTGAGAACCACAGAGGCACAGTCCCATTACAGGAGTGTGTGTGTTTGTGTGTGTTTATGGTTACGTGTGCTGTGATAAGACACCCACAGTATTAGTGAGAGAGCATAAGAGAGATATGTATGTATATGTGTGAGTTTAGGTGTCCATTGCTGTAACAATAATTAACCTCTCTGTGTACCTGCGTGTGTACCTGTGTGTGTACCTCGTGTGTTCTGCGTGTGTGTATGTTTTTCCATTGCTATATGAAACCTATACTACAGGAACAGAAAGAACCAATGTCCAGTGAACACAGATGTGACACATTAAGACACCTGTTAATGAATATAGTTCAGGTTGTTACTGTTCAGAGCTCTGTGAGAGAGACAGGTACATGTTGGAGTGTGGTGGTCACTGATCCAATAACCTGATAGTCATTTATAACACGGTTGTAAATCTAGTCTTTGCTTACATTTTGTTGGTTGACAGCTCATGTCATCAAGATGAAGAGGTTTCATGGTGTTATACTGGTGTATACTGGTGGGAGGGTGAAGCTAGTTAAAAACTAGAATCACCTCCTTATGGTTGTCTGCCTCCACCACTCAGACTAGTTTCACGTTACATCCCTGTTTATAAAGAGTCACATAAAATATGAATCATTTGTGTGATACTTTGTCATAATTGTTGTGCAAAGTCTTGAATAATGACTTTTGACCTTTAGCCACCAAAATCTAATCAGTTCAAGCTTCAGTCCAAGTGAATGTTTGTGCCAAATTTGGCCATCAAGATGTTACTGAGATATTGTGTCTACAACAATGAGATGGACCGGCAGCCTGAAAACATGCCTCTGGCTCTGGTTATTGCTGGTGTGGAGTAATAACAAAGAGCTACGCTGACTGTCCCTCTACGAGCTCTCTCAGCCCCTAATCTCATGAACATCACCACAGTTTGATCAGTAGAATTTCAGTTGACCACTGTGATCCATCCACTTCCACACAAACTAACCACGACACAACCCTGAGGAGAAACATACATCTTTAAGATATGAGGAAATCAAGATATCTAATTTCCTAAGTGGCCTATTCCATGTGGCATAAAGTGACAAGCCTAGATATGAGTTTATTACTGCCTAATATATTTTGTATAACATTTTACCTCAGAGCCTCAGCATAGAAGAGATATTCTTTCAGTTGGTCTGCATAATGTTCCTCTTCCTCTAAGATGTCATCTATCGAGGCAGCGTAACTGCAGGTGTGTGACAAAGAAAATTTGTCTTATATACACACACACACACATGCACACGCACTCACACACATATACATATATGTACATACAGTATATACTGTCTTATACACGGTGTGTATATACACGTATGTATGTGTGTAATGTGTCTATACACACATTATAGTATCTGTTGAGGATCTGCAGACTCAAATACTCACGCATCCATATGATGACCTGCACTCTGCAGTCCATCCCCCATCTCTTTTTCTATGGCGCTCCACTCACTGCAGCGAACACACACACACACGCACACATACATGTAAATTAACAAGGAGAGTCTGTCATACACACTATTAGTTTTTAAGGAAAACAATAGACAACAGACATTTTTTGTATTCTGTTAGTTTTTCTTGTCAGAATTGAAAATAGAATGGAGTTGTCTTGACTTGACGATGGAACATCAGGTCATTGCTTTTAGTGTTGCACAGCTACAAACCTGAAGACTCTGCCATAGTTCCCATGCACCTTGAAAACACCATAGAGTCGATCAGCAACTCTCTACAAGAGACACAGAAACTGAATAAGTGTTCAAATAAAAACAGACAGTCAATTTGGGAAAGGTGACCTGACAATCTTACTTTAACATATAATCTACTTTTCAGATGAATCGTACAGATCTCATCATTAAAAGCTTCTACATTCAGATATTTAATTTGCAAAGTTCAGTCTCTGCTAAACAGACCATGTTAGCTGTTAAACAGCTATCTCGCTAACTGAAGCTGAAGACAGCAGTCCTTGTTCTGCTCTGCAGTCTCGTGAGTTTTGTGAAGCTCCATATGAAGCTGTTATCCACCTGAGCAGAACCAGAACCACTGTCATCAACTTCAGTCCAAGAAACTACAGTCTGTCTGTGGGACCAGAGACCTGCTGCAGGACCAGAGACCTGCCTGCAGGATGTGAGACATCCTGAGGCAGGACCAGGGATCTGCTGCAGGAACAGAGACCTGCCTGCAGGACCAGAGACCCGCTGCAGGCAGGACAACCTGAGGCAGGACGAGCTGGTTAGCAGTTGTGATATGTAAACAGAGGACAACATTGTGGGTGAAGAACAGCTGCAAGACAAACATCCATTAGAAGTGTCAAAGGATGATGCAGGTCACAACCTCCAGTGAGGACTTTCAGAATAAAATCAGACAGGATGCAGAGATTTGTGAGCTGGGCCTTTAGCCTTGACCTTTGAAGGATTTAAAGCACAGTCTTTAGAGAGGGGCAACGATATGAAACCTGTTTTGTGCTGCCATTGAAATTACACATCTGACAATCATCCAAGCTTGATATTTGGAGGAATGAAACAAGCACTATGATTGGTCTAACTCTTTCTCTTCTTTTTTTGCTTTCTAGACTGCACTACTGCATGTTCTTTCTAGACTGGAGTGACAAACCAAACCAGTGTCCTTTAATACTAAACAGGTACAGTTAGAGATGAAACATGACTCTACATGAATCCTAATGCTGCTCTGTAACTGCTGCATGTGTAAAAAAGGGGTTCCTCAAATCAACTTAAAGGTGATGATATGTCAAAGAGAGCGAGAGAAGAAACTCACTGCTCTTGCTCGGAGCAGCTGAGATGTGTGAGACTGCAGCTCATCACTGTAGTGTTTCATGTCCATGAAGCGCCTGCATCAGACACAATAAAAACACATACAGAATACAGCCATTAAAATTTCCTTTACCTACTTTCCAACCAGTTATTCAAAGTGTACTTGTATATATTAATCCTTTAATTCCTTTCATTTTTGGACTCTTTCTTTTAATCTGGTGGATCTACAGCTGCAACGATTAATCTATTATTGTATTATACATTGTATTATATATATTATATATACTGATATACATATATATATATATGTACATATTTGATAATTGCTTAAGTCACCTTTTAAGATAAAATTTCAAACACTGTGATTCTAGGTTCTCTGACGCTTTCTTGTTTTGAAATGATAGTAAGTTGGATAGTTAGTGACTGTGGATTTTGGTTTGTTGGTCGGACAAAATGAGGCATTGATGATGTCGTCTTGTGCGCTGGGATAATACACAGTTTTATAATGTTTTAATGACAAAATGATTAAACAAAGAACTGAGAAAAATAATATGGTGATGGTGAATAAGGAGATGGCGGAGCTGTTATTGCAAATGCAATTTTGGAAAGGCCATGCCCCTCACCCCTCATCCCTAACACCTGGACAAACAAGGCCAGCTTAATGTCTTCTACAAAAAAGCCTCTTGGACCATTAGAGTCCGCCATGAGGGATTTTCTGCCAATTTTTATTTTAACTCTTTAAAAAATTTGTTCAATCATCATAAATCTGTGATTTAGTGATTGGTTTCATTTAATCCAGCTGATGTCACTTTGTTCTGATTGGTCACACCTGAAACCTGCTCACTGCTGCTTGCAGTTGTATTTATGCAATTAATTTTAGATTTACCATGTAGATAATGCTAATAACGAATATAAAAACCCTCTACCTTCAAACAGCTTAACTTACATCTTCTTATATCTTGGTCATTACAGACAGCTTTAACTTTAAGAAGTTACTCCAAATAACTGGGGCTAATTATTTACTCCTGACAAACAGATGAGCCACTCTTACAGTGTGACTTGGAAACACTAACTTACTTATCTGTATTTCTCACCCGGAAGGTGGCACTGAGAGCTCTCAGCCTGGAATCTGCCTGCAGCAGGAGGGAGAGGAGCTGGTCAAGCTTTGTGAACACTGAAAATACTGTATGAATTGAGAAACAGAACCACCACAGATATCCAGTACCTTAGCCTGAAAACCTGTCTCATACACCACCTCTCTCCAGCCATGTTCCTGCGACACACAGTAGTTTAAGAAGTCAGTTACAGATCAATTACTGATTGATAATTGATCCGCTGAACTGCTGGACTGACCCCGAGCAGCACCATGTACCTCAGTGAGGAAGTGGTAGAGGATCTTGTCATTGGAGAGTACTAGATGAGATGCCACACGAATCAGAAAGTTCTCCAGCCCCACCCTGCGGCGCTCCACAAAGTCTGGGTCCATATTGTCCGCTGACAGCTTGTGCCACACGAACTCTGCCTGCAGGCAAGAGAATGAAGCATTCATGTTTTACACTGCAAAGCCGTACAGTAAATTTCTATTTCAGCATGATTGCATTTCATTGATTTTCATCAGTCATATTTTTTGGTGCATCTGGTTTATCCACTGCACTGGCCTGTAATTTAGATGAATGAAGCATGTGTAAATTGTCTAATAAAATGGGAAGATTTGAAGATGAGCCACAACTCTACCTTTGCAAAATACTCCAAATAGATTTCCCATCCATCTTTATTAATCATTAATCTTTTAATCACCATAATATTTCAAGTTGCCGAATAACAGAGGTTAAGTGGAGATCATTTAGATGGTAGCATCATCTCTATCAACTAAAATAAGAGGGACTTAGATTTCAAAATGTGGGTCACTTCGAATACCTACGACCCAGATTTTTGAAAAAGTGACAGCCCTATTTTACAGCCTGGTCCAAAAACAGTTTTGGTCCCTCTAGCTAAGTTCCTCCTTCATGATAACTGTTTATATAACTCACCTGTTTACATTTTATTAAGGCTTCAAGTTATGTATAATTAAGGGCGTGGCCTCTTTGAGTGACAGCTGGGGGAGGGTATTCTTGCCACACTTAAGTCTTGGCTCCACCCACGCCCCACCGCTTGGACCATTTTTGGATTAGCCAGGAGTCGGGGGCGGAGCCACACACTACCAAGATAGCGACAGTGGGGCATCTCACTCTGAGCTTCAAAACCGTTTTTCAGAAACCATTCACAATCACATTCACACCTACGAGCAATTTAGAGTTATGTGGGCATGTGTTTGCAGGTAGATGGAGGAGTCCCACACAGACAGGTTCAAACCCAGAACCTTCCTGCTGTGAAGCGACAGTGCTAACCACTGCACCTCCATGCCACATATATGTATAGAAAATGAACAAGATATCCAGCTCCTTCATACTCCAGAAGTCTGCCCACATCTACTAATGCTTTCTCTGTCATATTTCTTCCCTGTACCAGGATGTTCAGAGTTAGTCCCTCTAAACGATGCATCATCAGGAGTGGTTGTCTGGTTCACATGCTGTCTGGGTCCCTGCCCTCCCTTCTCTACCTCCATCACAGTTTTGTGGCACAGTTATTTTCAGACCAGGCTCAGGCTATAAAGTTTACACCTGCTCGTTCTGGGTCTTTGACTGATGCATCAACTCACTGACTCTGGGACCATCCCTGTATGTCTGGTGTTTGTTGCATCACTGAAGGGTTTGGAAAGCACAGCCACAGTGAACTCACCCTCTTCTCAGGCAGGGGGGGCACCACAATGTATGGATAGGTAACTATTAGGTAGCTCCGCAGCAGTTCAAACTCGCTGTATCGCCTCCACAGAGAGTCGGGAGCGGGGTTACGACCCTCTGCCACTGCATCCATCGGCCTTTAAAGATGCAGGACAGTTTGGACAAGTTCTTTAGCACTGACACAAAAGACGGAAGTGAATTCATGCAACACAGAGCCCAGAAATTGATGAAGTGCAGATGAATACATATCTCAGCACCCAAGCCATGCAGTTCTCACCGTGTCTCGATGAGGTACACAGTGAACGTCTCCTGCATGTTCACTGCATTCTTCCCACTCCTCTTCTCAGCCTCAGCCACACAGATCTCCATCCTCCGCAGCAGAGTGCAGCCACCCTCCTCCTCCACCTGCAACGGCACCCGGTGACATTAACATCCCAAACACCTGTTCACTCATAGGCCAAATTCCAATCTGGCCCATACACACTCCCCCTACCCACTCTCACTCCGTTTGCACGTTTGTGTGAAGGGTCCGCCACATTGAGTGTCGTTCCAAACTAATGACCCATAAGTGAGGTGGTTATAAAGCCTCCAACACAGAGCCTGCATCGATGCAGTCTTACAAACCACACTCCCAAACAAGTGCAGCATTGCTTTGAATCCGGGATGGATGAAATTCCATATACCTTCAAATGTGAGTTTCGTGTGTTTATTTCCAAAGGACAAGTCATAAATCACCTCAAACAGACATTTCACTATTTTCATGCACACAAGACGAAATTAGAGCTTACACTGTATTTTGGATTGAACATGGCTGTGTACCTGAAAAAAAGGGGACTCCGCCAATTGATAATTTCCCTTTCACAAGCTATCTATGCCATGAATGTGATGAGAGCCATGTCGTTGCCCACACACCTACATCTTTGTTAATGCTGTGTATAAGATTATATTTTCGATAAATATTGATTTAATCACAATATCTTTCTGAAATATTTTGGGTAACAATAAATTTCCTGATTCCATCAAAGAAGGGCGAGGACGTTCCAAAGCTTGCCGTTGTATCTATACCCTTAACGAAGAGACCCTCCACAGCCGCGAGTGTGACTCCACCCGGAGTTACACTCCTCTGAGTTTGAGTGTAGGGACAGGATTGGAATCGGGACATAGTCCCACTGTGTTCCCATTAAGCTACTAGCCAGCAGCTGTCTCTTAGTGGGGTCAGCCCTATGTTCCCATATTTCTAAGAATGTTTTGAAAATTAGGCCCTATTTTTCCACAGTCTTATATGTTCCCATAAGCCCGTGTCCACACTAACCCAGGTAATATTTATCCGGTTAGCCCTTCCGTCCACATTAGAATGGTGAATTCCGAAACTGAAAACGATGCTTTACAAAAACGATCACTGGGGTGGATAAATGTGAAGACGCCGTGGAACGTGGATGCAAAGCGTTCTGAAAGGGTATAAAAGGGGAATATAGGGCTGTGGGAACATAGGGCTGTGGGAACATAGACACGCTCCCCTCTTAGTTATGATGCAAGCTACTGTTAGCATGACAACAGTCAGAGATGACCTGTCTCTATTCTAACCAAAGCTATTTCAATGGCGAACTAATAACCTGAATTGTGCTAATTAACGTATCTCAAATATACCATAATGTATAGTGAACTTTCAGCAGTAAGCCAACGTCAAACGCGACGTAAGGTGGACGCAGCGTTTACCCGCTGCTGCGGAAGAAAACACGTAGACCTGATTTGAAGTAAGAGGAGGAGAAGCTGCTGTCTCACCGCAGTGTTCTGGCTCCCGTCCGCAGCCAGGAGCTCTGAGTCAGTGGCCACCGACTCATCTTTCACATCCTCCGCCATCTTCTTCTCTCCTGATGATGTTGGTGATTCAGGGCGCATGCGCATAGCGCCACTCCACCCTGAAGGTTAAAATACTATACATCTTTAGTTATTATCCCTTACTCAAATGTAATATTTGTACATATATTGAATTACCATATGTGGAATATGAAATGAAAACATATGTAAGAATGATATATGAAATCTATTGGAAAATTGAAGAATTTCATAGATTGACATTTATGTCTAGCCCATACAAACATGTGTGTTTATGTATGTATGCTTATCTTGTAGACATATGTTTTGTAAATATATATCCATCCCAAAACCTGTCAGTTTATGTTGATATTATAAACAGTAGGCTCCAATAGTCTGAGACCACTTTCACAGAATGTGAAGATGTTTAAAGTTAATGAGAAATTAATGACAAAACATGCACAAACATATAGAAATTGTACATGTATGTTGTTTTAATAAAACAACATGGGGGTGTTCAGAAGGAGGCAGTTCTTGTTGCTCCATTCCCTGAAGGCAATCGTCAGATCCCTGTTCTCTTCCTGCCCGTTCCTGATACACGCCCCAACAGCTGTGTCATCCAAGTATTTCTGGATGTGGCAGGACTCAGAGTTGTATTTAAAGTCCACCGTATACAGAGTGAACAGGAACAGAACTGGAACAGTCCCCTGTGGAGCCCCAGTGCTGCTCATCCCTGTCACTGAGACACAGTTACCCAGCCTGACGTACTGTTGTCATCTTGTCAGGTAATCCACAATCCAGGACGTGAAGCAGGGATCTGCCCCCATCCCCTCCAGCTTGTCTTTAAAAACGGGGGGTTGGATAGTGTTAAATGCACTTGGAAAATCAAAGAACATAATCCTCATGTAACCACCTGGCTAATCCAAAGATTCTTTGATTTTTATATGGCAACATCATTCTTGGCATTGCATGTATACATATATATATATATATATATATATATACATATGTGTGTCATATATGGGATGTTATATGTATACACTGCATACTGCTTTAAAGTATGAATATTTATGGTCAGAAGTTGCAGCACTGCTGAGCTGCTGAGGTGCTTGACAAAGAGCTCAGGTCACAGGAGGAGACTGCTATTGTTCCCTGTGAAACAAAAAAGGAAGAAAAAGACCAAAAGGAAGGGGGGGGTGGGGGGGTGGGTGAGGAGGTTTTAGCGCAAAACAATGAATCTTTCCAACACAATTGTGAGCTTCAGAAAACGCTCTTCTTGAAAGAATGACAAGAATGAAGAGATGCTTTTGAAAACTGTTGAGAGGGAGGAATAACTTCTTCAGAAATGTGTCTCAAAGCCTGTGAGATCGAAAAATAACAGGAGAGGGAGAAGGAGACTATTCAGCAAAACAACTAAGCCCTCATATCTGGGGACTTAAATAAAAACAAAGACATAATGAGGACACAAAAGAAGAGTTGTGTTGCCAAGCCACTGAGGCAGATGAAGAATTTTTTTTATTACTTTCTTACATACAGTAAGATTACTATGCCTTTAAACAATTTGGGAAAGCCCAGATGATGATGTCATCATGATAGGTTAATTGACAACATTTGAATTAATTACAGGCACACCTGTGGATGTATTTTAAGGTACACCTCAAACACACTGCCTCCTTGTGTGACATCATGGGAAACTCAAAAGAAACCAGCCAAGATATCAGGAAGAGAATAGTTGACTTCCACAAGTCTGGTTCATCCTTGGGTACAATTTCCAGATGCCTGAAGGTGCCACGTTCATCTGTTCAAACAATTATACGTAAGTATAAACACCATGGGAATGTCCAGCCATCATATTGCTCAGGAAGGAGACGGGTTCTGTGTCCCAGAGATGAACGTGCTTTGGTGCAAAATGTGCGTATCAACCACAGAACAAAAGCAAAAAACCTTGTGAAGATGCTGGCTGAAGCTGGTAGGAGAGTGTCATTATCCACAGTGAAACAAGTCCTGTACCGACATGGGCTGAAAGGCCACTCAGCGAGGAAGAAGCCATTACTCCAAAAGCAACATAAAAAAGCCAGATTACAGTTTGCAAATGCACACAGGGACAAAGACCTTAATTTTTGGAGACATGTCCTGAAACTCAAATTTAACTGTTTGGCCATAATGACCATCGTTACATTTGGAGGAAAAAGGGGGAAGCTTGCAAGCCTGAGAACACCATCCCAACTAGGAAGTATGGGGGTGGCAGCATCATGTTGTGGGGGTGTTTTGCTGCAGGAGGGACTGGTGCACTTCACAAAATAGATGGCATCATGAGGAAAGAACATTATCTAGAAATATTGAAGCAACACCTCATACATACATACATACATATATATATACACACACACACACACACACTAGTGCTGCTGATATCGGATATTGACGTATATCAGGTAGCACATATAATATATATATATATATATATATATATATAGTAGCGGACATACCTGGCCTGGCATCAGTCGCAAGCCATTAAGGAAGTTCATTATAAGGACATGCAGAGTAAAGGACCCACAATTGACACTTTGTGACTCTTCCCACCATCAACTATCAAATTGATAGGAGACAGAGACAAATGACCCTTCTCCACAAACAGACGCATGCTTTTAGCATGCCAGAGAGACACAGAACCAGACCAAAGGTCAAAGGGTCAGCTCCAGAGGATCACACCAATGGACACCAGGCAATGGAGAATATAGGCAATATCTCCAGTTTTGTAACAAAGTAAGTTAATACTCTGTCTAATGATATTTGATTGTTTCTTATATAGGACAAGTAACAACAAAAGGACTGATTAAGCACTAAGGTGTGAATCCTGGCCTCTCTGTGCCATGCATGAAACACACACACACACGCACACACACACACAACCTCCCTTCTCTGCTCCTCTCTAGATAAGATCATAAACTACGACCACATTCCAATCCCTGGTAAGTGACCAGCAGAACTCTCTTCACAGACACAGATCTGAGGAAGAATGTAAAATTAAATATCTAGCTGTTCCGTAACTCATGAGATGTTCCTATGCAATAGTTTAATCCCAAACTTCTATCCCATAGAATGTTTGAAATGTAACATGTAGATTTTAAGACAATGTCCTTCATGTGACCATACTGTCAGCATCCTTCACACAAGGTAACACACACTACATGACATCCAGAATGTCCATATTATTATTATTGTAGTCAAAGAACTGCTGTGTAATCCACATTCATAGACTATTAGCTTTGGGAAATGTTTATATTGTAGTTTGATCAGTTAACCACTTGTATCATGATTAATTCCAGGTTTGAAGGATGTAATATGAAATCAACACTCCTATTACTCGTCTCTGCCATTATTAGTGCAAGTAGTTTTATATGTTATTTCATTTAATGTTTTGTGGTCATGGTGGAAGACGGATGTGCGAGTTTATACGTAAACTCTAGAATTAAATTATTCCAAAATTCAGTGGAAAATTACTCTCTTCTCCAAGTGGCAACACAGGAGAAGATGGGTGACGCCCCTGAAACATGCGCCAGCCCCCCCAGGGGATAAAACAGTCGTGATGAATTCACACAGTCAGAAAAAAGAAAAAGCCAGAAACGCTAAGAAACTCAAAAGATGCGAGAAGCGAGAAACGAAGCTAAAAGCTAGAGGCTGAAAAGCTGAAGCTAGAAAAACTCAAAGCCTGGCTCTGTAGCCATGTAAACTCTTAGCTCTAAGCTGCTAGCCACAAACTCATGGCTCTTAGTCATTTTTGCACTTTTCGCGTCCTTTATTTTTCTTTGCCACAAGCTCCAAGTAACATCATTTTCGTTTACATGCGTAATCTTTTATTTTTATAAGCCAAGTCAAGACCAACTGAACCAAAACAACAGCAGTGCCTCAGAGTAATTTTGTAACTTTTAATCATCATCAAGTTTTCCTTTTGAAGATTCTGACAACTTTAGAGTCATGTGGTCAACGCCAGTCTCCTCTAAAGTTATCCAGCCAAAGTGAAGAGCATTAGAGTTTATTTCGCATCAACCCACAAGAGACGCTGGCAGATAACACCTCTGCACGACCGCCTGCAGAGAAGCCGAGCAGAAATCAAGAGTGCCCGAGACAGAAAGTCTCCTGGCAAACCCCACCAGAGCTGAACCGCTGAGACACCGGCAGAATCCGTCATCGTGATAACGGGACACGGCCTCCAGGAGAACTACCTAGATCCCGCGTCTCCAGGGTTACCACGGCAAACACAGCCACCTGGGTTCCAGCCGAGGGTCTTCAGCTACAGCGCAACTCACAGTAGGCCGGTCTTAACACTCTGCTCATGACTGGGTTGATGTCGAAATATAGCAATATTTAATCATCAAACCTAATTCGTAGATGTAGTATACATTAGCTGTATAGCATAGTGTATAGCCATAACATATTCTCTCCCCACCATTGCCAAATCTCAATCACACTGCTCATTTCATTATTATAAATCATCATTTTATGATTATTACACCTTGCATTTACTCTGTAGAGAGTAGTTTAGTTATATAAACTCCTTTATTTACACCCTGTGTTGTCCCTGTTGTATTCTTTTGACGTACAGACTGGAGATGCCATTGAATCGAGAAGTCATGGCTTTCGATATGAGTTGATAAATTTGGCAATGAAAGTAATTCATGTTGCCGCTCCCAGAGGACTGGTGCCCCATTTAAACGAGAAGTAAATTCTAAAATTATGGCGTTAATGCTACAAATATATATATATATATATATATATATAATATATCTATATACACTACCGTTCAACAAGTTTGGGGTCACTTATAAATTTCCTTATTTTTGAAAGAAAAGCATCTGTTTTTTCAATTGAAGATAACATTAAACTAATCAGAATACACTCTAATAACATTGTTAATGGGTGGTAAATGACTATTCAGCTGCAAACGTCCTGGTTTTTTAATGCAATTTTCTACATGTCGAGTGTATAGAAGCTCCATTTTCCAGCAAAACCACATCACTCCAAGTGTTTCTATATGGTACATTG